GCTTAGGATTTTGTAAGTGCTTGTGCGTAAGTTTGTTTGACCCCTAGAAGTAAGGCTAAGGCTGGCATTCAATTCGGTTGAATCGAGAAAAAGTTACTCTAATTTCTAAGATTCGTGTCTATTTCTAGACAGTAGTGTCTTATGGAGCATAATTTTGATTCACCAATGATTAGCCAGAAATTGTGCTTGCATTTTGTTTAATGCATGCATGGTATTTATATTAATAATCAGAATTGCGCGCAAATAAAAAGATGTGCCTGAACATTAAGGTGTACAATAGAAGCCCCGATCATGTACTTGAGATCAGGACTAATGGGAAAATGAAATTATTTTTTTCATTCCCGGGAGAATCGAAAATGATTTTTTAGTCTAGAAAAAAAGGAAATTAAAAGAGTGCATGACCTTATAAATATGAATTTCTATTCTCATTTTTTACATTTGTTTTCTTTTTCATTATTTCACTCCTTTCCATTCATCCTTCCACTTTTGCACCGACTCTTTCTGACGATAACTTACAGGAGACATCAATCTTTGTATAGTGTGAATTTCTACAATATTTAGACAGTTATTCTTCCCTGAAAGGGGCAAAAGAGATACAGATTGCTTAAGCTTTAATGAATTAGGGGCCTGGATGATGCAGCAGTTCAAATATAGCAAAAGCTCTCTCCATGATGAATGGAAAGACTCCGTTGTTGGATTACAAAATGACTAGACATTACACGGAACTCCAACTCAACAACAAAAGACTTCAAAGCACATTTTGTTTACTTTCCATGCACTGTAACAAGGAACTACACAAATCCACTCATCTTTTTACTCTATACAACTATATATATGAATATGTATATTCTTTTACTATAATTGAACCGTAAGATTAGAAATGTAAACCACAGTGCGACTTCGAGGGCGAAGTAACTCTTAGTAGTCTACTAAAAGCTAACTCACTTGTTCCTGTTGGACAGAAAGGATCTCTAGGCGAAGACACTTCCGAAAAACGGTGTCGGAGTATATGCTTTTGATTTCAGAGGCAATCTGTTTCATTTTGGAAGCACAAAGTTTTTTCCGCAGAAGACGTTTCTGCAAATGGAATGAAAGAACGATCATTGCTGGGAACTTTTAGGCTCTGGATTAAAGAAATACAACAGCTTTCAATAGAACATAAGAAATTACTCCCATCCCTAATCAAACTGAATTTAGAAGCATCAAATTACACAACTCGGGAATTCTTAGTGCCAAATGTCAAACAGAAGCAAAGCACGCAATGCAACTAGCAGGTTGAAAACTTTTGTTCTATTTGATTTAATAGAACATAAGAAAGTACTCCCATCCCTAACCAAACTGAATTTGGAAGCATCATATTACACAACTCAGGCATTCTTAGTGCCAAATGTCGATAACATGGAGATCAAATGTATCATATCATATCTAAAGTACCCAAGATCGAGACAATAACAAGTGCTGTAGAATTCATATGCACAGGAAATCACTACCATCAGGGTAATATCTAAAAATTAGTACCTCAACAGTTGCCTTTAGGCAAAGTGGATTTAAAAATTTCTCAACGTACAACAGAATGTCATGCAAGAAACTTTCACATGTTAGGCAATCAGATGGTAAGGTAATATAACAAGTGCCCGGAAATTTAAGAAAAGAAAATACTGACATTATACATCCTCGACTTGGCTTTTTCTTCTTTTCCAGTTTCTCCTTCTCCTTCTGTTTCTGTGCTGGCTTGATGACAACCTTGATTGCAGCATCAAAAACTGCTTTCACATTCTGCAGATGTGAGGAAATCATAACTGAATAGAGATATATACTAAACAAAAGATGTCGTGTTTTGATATAACCTCATAAAGACAAACAGTATATCAATCAATGAAGAAGTTTGAAATAGGATCTTTATTATTAATTAAATGACATGATGCATATCAATAGAAGGTCTAACGAGTTATCAAAGAGTTCATTTCTATGAACCAGGCCACTAAGAGCTCCTCCGAGGTGTCCTCTAGAGACCCAAGTCCACCAATGCCATTAATAGGGAGCAGGTGCCAAGTTTTTGTCATACCTGCTGTGTTTTTGAGCTGCACTCAATGTAATAAGCAGCACCAATCTGTTTGCGGAGCTCTTCATCCTATTTTGATAGTATATGTTATATAAACTATATATGTAAGTAACCTATAGTTTATAAACAATTACTCATATTAGTGTACTATATAGTTTATACTTTATAACCTATAGTATATAATTTATAAACTATAGTTTATATTAATATACTATATAGTTTATATTAATGTTAATTATCTTAACTATAATTTATATTAATATAGTATATAGTTTATAAACTATACTATATAATTTATAACATATAGTTTATATTAATATTAATTTTATAGACTATATTTTATATTAATATTAATTACAAATTATAAACTAATGTTATATTAATATAAGTTAATATTAATATTAATTATATTATATAATTATTTTAATATTAATTATATTATATAATTATTTTAATATTAATTATAAATAATTTATTAATATAAATTTGATAAGAATGAAATTAAAAACACGCGCCAAAAGTATCTAGTTTCTCCCGCCTCTTCCCGACCATACCCTACCTCATTTATTTTCGCTCTCTCTTCTTCCCCGCTCAGCCTTTTCTCTCCCTTTCCTTCTTTCATTGTTGTTTCCAGCCAAAAGCATCCAAAATCTCTCACTTTTCTCTCATTTTCCCTCTTTCATTGTTGTTTCCGTTTGCCAAACGGCGATGCACCATCCACAGTCACACATTTCTTTGTACTGAGATCTACTGTTAAGTGTTGAGCATTTCAACTTTCACTTATGATTTTATTCCTAGGTTTTCACTAATATGATTGGGACTTATCATTTATTACTTGAGTTTTGTAAAAAGAATAACTCACAAAAATTGGACTCTTTGATTGAAATCTATTGAATACTGACGAGTGTGAGCATGTATGAGGCGTTTTTCTGTCTATCCAACTTCGGTTTTAGGATTCATTAAAGAATTTTTTTCTTCTTTTGATGAGATCTATTTGTTAGTGTTAGTGTTTGATCTGTTTTCTTGGCTTATCTTTCTATTTTGTCAGTTTATGAAAGCAACTTAATTAGATCCAATCGTTTTCATCATGGAACTTATAGATCCATAGTAAATTCATTAGTTTCTTTCTATAGATCTGAGTGAATGAAGCTTTAGATCTCTTTACACCTTGAAGGAGCTCGAGGCTGTTGCTGGCAAAGGTATACTATTTTATGTTGCGTTTTTATGACGAGTTTATCATTTTGTTAGTTATTATATCTAATGTCTATGAATTACTCTGATTTACAGACAACCTTGTGGTATCAACCTCCTGCTCACTTCTCCACACCGCTGTTGATCTAGTAAATGAGACTAAGCTGGATGATGAAATCAAATCCTGGCTTGCATTTGCTGCCCAGAAAGTTGTTGAAGTCAATGCACTCGCTAAGTCATTGGCTGGTCAGAAGGACGAGGTATCCCCTTTATGTTGCCACTTGTTTTTTCTAGTCTTCTAAGAACTAAGATCGCATCTCTATGTGTGAATGATGTCATGATGCTATATTCATATCCAGATGACACAATGTCACTTACTAGTTATTTCATCTATTTTTTAGGACTTCTTCTCTGCCAACGCTGTTGCTCAAGCTTCAAGAAAGTCCTCCCCAAGAGTGACCGATGAGGCTGTTCAAAAGGCTGTAAGTTTTTGATAAACTAAAATTTCGATTTTATTCCACGTTAGTGCTCACTGCTCAGTAATGGCTGTTCATTGTGAGAATATTTCTTTGCTTATCATGTTATACCGTGCTTGGCTGCTTGCTTTCCCAGGCTGCTGCTTTGAAGGGTTCTGACCACCGACGATGCCCAGCAGAAAAAGCTTAACCTGCCAATCCTCCCCACCACAACCATTGGCTCCTTCCCTCAAACCTTGGAACTGAGGAGAGTTCGTCGTGAATTCAAGGCCAAAAAGTGAGTTATCTGGAAATTTGTCACACTATCTTTATTGTAAAATGTCAATTGGACCTGTCTTCTGACTAGTGCTCTCTTCTTTCAGGATCTCCGAGGATGATTACGTTAAAGCCATCAAGGAGGAAATTAAGAAGGTTGTCGACCTTCAGGAAGATCTTGACATTGATGTCTTGGTTCATGGAGAACCTGAGGTGAGTATACCTTTTTGTTTTGTTCTCTTGCAGTGAAGGAGATACACCTATGCCTAGTTCTTAGCAACATATAATCAACTATTTCTTATAACTGTGCAGAGAAACGATATGGTTGAGTACTTTGGTGAGCAGTTGTCCGGTTTGCTTTCACTGTTAACGGATGGGTGCAATCTTATGGGTCTCGATGTGTGAAGCCACCGATCATCTATGGTGATGTTAGCCGCCCCAACCCAATGACTGTGTTCTGGTCATCTACTGCCCAAGGCATGACTGCTCGGCCAATGAAGGGAATGCTTACTGGCCCTGTTACCATTCTCAACTGGTCCTTTGTCAGAAATGATTAGCCACGGTATGCACATTAAAACCGGAAAATATGATCAGAAATTTAGCTTTTCCGCCAGCAATTTTTGTTTTGCCATTTGCATTATCTTTTAACATTCTACGGTTTGAGTATTATCCAGATTTGAGACTTGCTACCAGATAGCCTTGGCCATCAAGGACGAAGTGGAGGATCTCGAGAAGGCTGGTATCAATGTTATCCAAATTGACGAGGCTGCTTTGAGAGAGGGTTTGCCACTTAGGAAGTCCGAGCATGCGTTCTACTTGAAATGGGATGTCCACTCCTTCAGGATCACCAACTGCGGTGTCCAGGACACTACTCAGGTTTGAATATTATATCACTCTTAAGTCTCAAGAAAGCACTCGTATCCATGAACTCTCTAATCGGTATCGTATTTGTCTAACAAATCCACACTCAAATGTGCTACTCCAACTTCAATGACATTATCCATTCAATTATCGACATGGATGCCGATGTCATTACCGTCAAGAACTCGCGTTCAGATGAGAAGCTCCTCTCAGTATTCCGTGAATGAGTGAAGTACGGTGCTGGAATTGGTACCGGTGTGTATGACATCCACTCTCCTAGAATACCATCAACTGAAGAGATTGCCGACCGAATTAACAAGATGCTTGCCGTGCTCGAGACCAACATCTTGTGGGTTAACCCCGACTGCGGTCTCAAGACTCGCAAGTATGCTGAGGTGAAACCGGCCCTAAGCAACATGGTTGCTGCTGCCAAGCTGCTCCTCACCCAACTTGCTAGTGCCAAGTGAGAGATCTGGCTTATCTGAGGAGAGAAAAAATGAAAGAGATTATGTTTTATCATTTGAATAACTCTTTCTTGAGCCCAATTGATTTCCTTTTTTTATATTTGCTCTAAATATTTTGGGTAATATGTAAACTGTGTCAATTTCAGAATTTCATTCGTACATTTGTGGATATTAATAATAAATACTTTAAAGAAAAAATGGAAAATCACAGTATTTATTTCCAATTAACAAAACACCATATACGAGGAGTCCTATTAACTAGTTTTAAAAAAATGGTTATTAATTTATGAATATTTTAACTCAATTTATATAATTTAATAAAATCATTTTCAATAAGACAATATTTAAATTTAATTTAGTGATTATAAATAAAATTTATAATATAAGAATTATAAATAATATAAAGAATTAGAATTAATATAAAAATCAAATTTATAATATAAATTATAATTAATATAAAAATTAAATTTCAAAAAGTAATCATATTAATTTAATTTTCATAAGTTTATTATAAATTTAAAATAATATAATTATATTAATTGTAACTTATTATTATAAGTAAGGATAATATTATATCACTTTAATATGTCAGATCATTTACAGGTTGAGTCAATTACAGGTCAGGTTCATAACAGGTCAGGTTGAAAACAGGTCGGACAATACCAGTTATTTACCAGGTCAATCTCGGGTTCGGGTTCATATCAGTCGGATGCAGTTCGGGTTCGGGTATCATATTATCGGTTCAATTCGGGTTCAGGTCGTTCTCAGTCGGGTGCAGGTCGGGTTCAGATCCACAATTTCCAAGTCAAACTCGGATTCAGGTCAATACCAGTTCCGACTCGAATCGGTTTCGAATCACCACATCGCAGGTCAAAAACAATTTTGACTCGAATCGATTTCAGTCAGTTTTACAGGTTGGCTTTTTACACCGTTAGGTGTGTCCCTAAGACGAAGAGGGGAAGCAATTTCGACCCAAGTCGTTAAGCTTAAAGTTAAAGGTAATCCTTTATCATTATTTAATTTGAAGGGAAGTAGAGAGAAAAAAACTTGGGTCAAGCCTCAACTCAATCCCAAACAAAGAGCACCGCTGCCGTCAATCCATTCGTGTAATCTCCCCTCAATTCTCGGTTGTGGATCTTTGTGGATCAAGGTTAGATCAACCAAAAACCTCCCACATATCTCTGCTAAATTTCTCTACTTCTTTCCTTCAAACCTATATTTTTTCTTTTTATCTTGTATTTCAGATTTTGATGAAACCAATTTTCCCTGGACCCTGACTTCTGGCCTTAATTACCATTTCACTTTTTATTTTTATCATAAGGTTACTTTTTTTTGAAGACCTCTGCATATGAATTACAATATGTTCTTTTTTTTGTAAGTTATATATATATATATATATATGAAATGAAATTCTAGATAATCTTTTGTGCATGTATTACTAACGGATAAAATTTCGGGCAATCTTTTCTGTCTTTGAAGCCGAAGAGTAGAAACTTTTATATCTTATTTATGGAATTTTATTTTTCTGGTGTTCACGGGAAAATGGGGAAGAAAGGGTGGTAAAATTGATGACCAACTAGTGGATGTTGCGCAAGATCTACATTGATCATTTACATGCCATGTGCTTCTGGTCAGTATTCCTGTTTGAAGTGCTACTGAAAGGGATACATTGATTTAAAACTGAAAAGTGTTAGGAGGGATTGTGTAGAAGTTAAACTTGTGTGTGGAATGGAATAAAACCACTCGGTTTTAGAACTAGTTCTATTTATCTCAAGAACGATTTGTTTGTATTAGGTACCTAATGGTAGAATATTTAAGACCACAATTTCCCGAACAAATGACTGGAAGTTTTAGCCAATTTATGGTATTTGGTCTTTTTCAAGTAGATAGACATGTATAGATAATTGCTTGAATTAAACTCTAGCATAATCTGGACATTATCTCTGTCAATTCTATGAACTAGGTTCATGAGTAATCTAATTGTTAGGCTTATGAGTGTTTTTTATGATCTAAATGAGGAAGCCCTTTGCACATGCACGTGGGTTCAACTATTGAAATATGCCTTCATAAATTATAAATAGAGACCTTGATTAGTAATTTCAACTTTAGAATTATCTAGATATGACTGTAGGATATATACACGCTCAAACACACTCCAAGGACCCAAAGTGAGTGGGAAAAGAAGTGAAGAATTTTGAGAATATTTATCGTATACTGTTTTTTTACTGCTTGTGGAAAACAAAGTTTGAAGCTAATCTGCTGCATTTATTGAATTTACTTTTAAATTGATTTATTGTTTTCAACTTTCAAATGTTTGGAACCTGACATTAGGTTGAGTGAGTTTATAAATGAGTATTTTTTCTCTTCCAGATTTGAGTGGATTAGTCATAATTATTTTTGAACTAATTTGGACAGGTTTTAGATTTTATGCTGCCTCAGGGTGCTTGAACATCAAGTTATGGAACCTTAAGAAGTTATACCATTATATCAATTGTTTTTGTCCCTCACAGTTTAAAATCTGTATTGGGGATTTTTATATTTTTGGACCTAGAATTCTTCAGTAGTTCAAGGGAGTTTTAGTGGAGAGTTTTAATCTCCTTTTCAGCAGACTGAATTTAGGAAAATGATGACATAGTCTCATTTACTGTAACATATGATATTTTTCATTTATTGGCAGAATTGATTCTTCCTTCTGTCTAAAATTTAGAGGTTTCTTATGAAGGGGTTTTTTAACGAGATCTCCAATTCTTATAAAAAAAAATTTAGAGGTTCCAAGGCTTGATCTGTACTGTTGTCACTTGTTCCTAACATATATGCACTGTTGCATTTATTGGCAGCTGTGTCCATTTTCTTATTCCATGGTTTATAAAGTGATTAAAAAACCTGATTTCTTCTTATTTATGGTCCTAATTTGTTGCTTCTCTGTAGAAGAATAAGTTAAACCTGAATTCTCTCTATTGCATGGCTAATTCATGCACTTTGCAACGTTTTAGTCTGTTTGTCCCTGAAAATCTTTTAGCACTTGAAATTCTAGTTGAATCAATCAATAGCTTGTTGACCGTTAGATGAAAATTCAATGAATTGTATCTAAGCTGTGAATTGGAGGTAAGTTTTGTGTTCCTACCTGTTTCTGTTTGATAGCTGAGAAGATGCCGGACCATAAAGAAAAATGCCAAATGGTGTATTTACTTTGGTTTTCTAAGGCAATTGATGTACAGGATCAAATTAGGGCATGATGGGGTATTTAGAAAGCGTATGTAAAAATAATCACATTTATCTTGCGTGCTTTTTTATTGCGTCTGTCCTCAAAATTAAACTGTTGCAAGGGCTTTTCTTTTCTTCCAATTAATAAGAAATTTTGTTGCAATTTCATGTTACTTTTGTTTGTTTAATATGTGTCAAATAGATGCCAGAGGGGTCAAAATCTTCTTCTGTTAGTAATCTTCCACTCATCCTGGACATTGATGACTTTAAGGTAATGATTCTAACCACTGGTTTAATGTACCATTAGTTAAAGATTGTCAGAGCTTCTTTAATTTTTCTCATTGGATTCCTTTGGATAACTCTATGAATGGATGTCAACTTGTAGGGTGATTTTTCATTTGATGCATTATATGGGAACCTGGTTAATGAGCTCCTACCATCTTTCCAAGAAGAAGAAGCAGATTCAGCAGGTGATCATGGCCTTGGTGTGAGTGAGGTTCTACCAAATGGACATGCCCGTGCCTCTTCTGATGCAGCAAAATTCGCACAAGGACTCTCTAATCCTCTATTTCCAGAAGTAGATTCTTTATTATCACTATTCAAGGATTCTTGTAAAAAGTTGATTGATCTTCGCAACCAGGTTTATTTTGTAATAGTTGGTGATGGGTTTGATAAAACCATAGGATTCATATTAATGTTTTAATTTTGTTGATTGGAATGAAGATTGATGGAAGACTCTACAATCTCAAGCAAGAGGTTTCTACTGGAGATGCTAAGCACCGAAAGACACTAACTGAGGTAAGTCGGCAAAATTACTTCACACCATTTCTTTTGAATCATTTATGTGAAAATGGTACGAAAAGAAAGAATTATCTCTTTCATGCCTGTTGTTTTAGAAATGTATTTGTCTTTTGGATATTTAATGTTTGTCTCTCTACAAGAAAACTAAAAAAGAAAAGATGAAGTGCTATAGTTTCACTGACTTTGTTTGCAAGGATGATGGAGAGAACAAATAGTGAATATTGAGATAAATGTTTTCTTTTGAAAAGCTCTCAGCTTTGACATTTCTACCTTGACCTGAACAGCAATAAGGTGAATTCCACAAAGTATGAGTTACCATTGGGTCATGAACTGATTGGTTTTACTTATTTTTCTCCAGCTGGAAAAAGGTGTAGATGGGTTGTTTGACAGCTTTGCGAGACTGGATTCACGTATTTCAAGTGTTGGGCAGACTGCTGCAAAAATAGGTGATCATTTGCAGGTAAAATATCTGTTGTTTTAGCAACACTAACTTGTTTTTTATGCTCCTAGTTGGTTGTCATCATTTGATGAATAATATTGCTAAAAATTATATTTATTTATGGCATTTCCTGAATGCATTTATTTGGTATTTTCTTGTCAGAGTGCAGATGCTCAGCGTGAAACTGCTAGTCAAACCATAGAGCTTGTAAAGGTACTTTGAGTTGGTGTGTTTCATTTGCTATTTGTTGAAATTGCTTTAACACTTTTGGCAATTTAATACTTTGCAGTACTTGATGGAGTTTAATAGCAGTCCGGGCGATCTAATGGAACTTTCACCTCTATTTTCTGATGACAGTCGTGTTGCTGAGGCTGCTTCAATTGCACAGAAACTGCGTAAGATGGCATTACTTTACCATAGCTTTAGTTATGGCATATACTCACAAGCTCTTTTATTTACCAAATCTGTACACGAAAAGTGAGTCACTGAATGTGAAATCATGAATTGATATGTCCATTCTAGCAAAGTGTAACATATTTCATTATAGGAGCTTATTTCCATAACTGGCAACTGCAAATATACTTTTAAGGCTTCTTACAACTTTATGAACAGTATTTACCTTTCATGGGATTTCATTGATTTTAGGATCATTTGCTGAGGAGGATATTGCCAGAGCCGTGCCATCAGCTTTGGGAAGTGCAACTGCCAGCAGAGGATTAGAAGTTGCAGTTGCTAATCTTCAGGAATACTGCAATGGTATGCTAACTTTTTTGTTATATTTGCCTATCTTGAAAACCGAGTGATCAATGAGAATGATAGAAGAGTGAATGAGTGGGTTTTAGTGGATCTTGAAAGGGGAAATTTTGATGAAATTATTTTCTACCGAATAGTCATTTTAGCTAAATTATTTAAGTTGATTTTTTTCAACTTGATAATTTGTAGAAGCTTTAGAATCGAACTGTGAAGAGAAAAAGTTGGCAAAATTCTGTCTTATTAATGATCTCCCCTATTTTTTTAAGGACTACTCAATCTCGGTGTTAGTGAATGGATCTCCAACTGAGGAATTCCACATTAGTAAAGGGTTGAGACAAGGCTGCAGTCCGTCCCCTCTCCTATTTAATATAGTTGGGGAACTTTTAAACTTAATGTTGATCAAGGCTGCTGATCTAGGCCTTTTCCAAGGGTTCAACATTGGTAGGGTTGAAAATCCCTTCCATTTGACTCATTTACAGTTTGCAGATGATCTAATCCTATTCTGCAGAGATTCTCCAATGCATATCTTAAATATTAAGAGAGTTTTGAGGATTTTCAGTGTTATGTCAGGGCTGCATTTAAATCTGTCTAAGAGCACTTTGTATGGCGTTAATATGGAAGATGACATGCTAAAAGATTGGGCAAAGGAAGTGGGTTTTGGAGTGGGGTCTTTTCCAATGACATATCTTGGTTTACAGATTGGTACAAGGAAGAATTCTGAGGGTATGTGGGAACCGGTAATCCAGAATTTTAACAAGAGATTAGCTGGATGGAAAGCTAATTCTTTGTCGATGACTGAAAGACTAGTGTTGGTTAAACTTGTGTTGTCCTCCTTGCCAATTTTTTTCCTCTCTATTTTCAAAATTCCTTTCAAGGTGACTCAGAAGTTGAATTCTTTGATTGCTAAATTTCTTTGGGGAGAAGACCAAGCTAAGAAACAAATTCACTGGGTGAATTGGAAATCAGTTGTCAACCTTATGAAGAGGGAGGGTTGGGAACCTAGTCCTGAGTTTGATGAATAGAGCCTTGCTGGGGAAATGGGTCTGGAAATTCGCAAATGAAAAAAACAGTCAGTGGAAAAAGATGATCTGCTGTAAAAATAACGTTAGTAACTTGTCTCTCTCAATAACAAAGGTTTTTTCACCACTAGATTCTTGGATATGGAGAGGTATTATGAATAATTATGTGAAAAAGGATCAGATTGGAGACTGTTTGAGAGCTAATTCAAAGTTCCAAGTGGGGAATGGTAGGTCGATAGCTTTCTGGACTGATGTTTGGGTTAATAATTTGACATTAAAAACTCAATTCCCCAGAATTTTTGCTCTGTCGACTAATAAATTAGGGAATGTATATGGGTTTGGTGGTTTTGAAAATAATGTATGGGTTTGGAATATTCAACTAAGAAGAAATTTATGTGACTGGGAATTAGACCAGTGGATTGCTTTAATGTCTTTGATTGATAATATAGTGTTGTCCGGTTCAGTGGATGATTTTCTTGCTTGGTCGGGAAAGGGGGATGGAATGTTCTCGGTCAAGTCTTGTAGAGTGACGTTATCTTGTAGTTCTGAAGGAAGTTTTGAGTGGAATAAGTGGGTTTGGTCTGGATTGGCTCCTCCTAGAGTTCAAACTTTTCTGTGGCAGATTTGTCATCGTAAATTGGCAGTTAGAGTGGAGTTGAAGAAAAGAGGGATTCTTTAATTACTGCTATGGACATTGTTCTTAGATGGATTCCTAGGAGTTGTAATATGGAGGCCGACAAGTTAGCTAAGCAAGGGATTGGTTGATTGTTGCAGGCTTATTGTTTTAATGTTTTGTGTTTTTTTTTCGGGCTATGTATAGACTATAAGTCTGTAATGGTGTTGATAGTTTGGTTAACAGGTCACCCAAACAGAGGCTGGTGCATTAGCTTAGTTAGTTTAGCCTTAAGTTAGTGTTGTTGTATATGGTTGTTTACGGGTGTTTTGTGGTTTTCTGTTTTTGAGGGGGGTGTTTCTCTGGATGTATCTTATGTAATTTCAGATGTTGAATGAAATCCTAAGGCACTCTTTTCCTCCTTCCACTGATTAAGGAGCTTTCTTACAAGCTCCATTAATCAAGAAGGGATTTTTTAACGAGGCCTTCAATTCTTATAAAAAAAGGACTAGTCTATCAAATTTCGTGATTTTATCTTTTTCTGAACTCTTTGTAGAATTGGAGAACAGATTATTGGCTCGGTTTGATGCTGCATCACAGAGAAGGGAGTTGACTACCATGTCTGAATGTGCAAAAATTTTATCTCAGGTATTAATTAATTGTATATATAATTGTTTATTCTTTATAAAATTTAATTCAGTTATTAGTTTCCTCGCTGAGCAAGTTACTTTATGCAGGAAGCTTGTTAATCAATTTTGAATAGATCTTTTTCACAAATGCAGTTTAACAGGGGCAGCAGTGCCATGCAACACTATGTGGCAACTCGTCCAATGTTCATTGATGTAGAAGTCATGAATTCAGACACCAGATTAGTACTTGGCGACCAGGGTTCTCAAGCTAGTCCTAGCAATGTTGCTCGTGGGCTTTCTTCATTGTACAAAGAAATTACAGGTTGAGAGACTTGTTGTATTGTTTGATAAGTCAAGGGTTTGAGTTCACCAATAGATGTGTTGTTCCTTTGTTGTTTGTCTTGCAGATACCGTGCGCAAAGAAGCAGCTACAATTATGACTGTGTTCCCGTCTCCTAATGATGTTATGTCAATTTTAGTTCAGGTGAATTGAAGAATCAGTATTTCAAGTTCCTTTGTTATTGAACTTAATCAATATATATGCAGCACCAGTATGACTACCGGTTTTCTACTTACATTTTGTTTCCCATGTCATATGCAGCGAGTTTTGGAGCAGAGGGTTACTGCTCTTTTAGACAAATTATTAGCGAAGCCATATCTTGTAAATCCTCCTCCCATGGAGGAAGGTGGACTTTTATTGGTAAGTGAACTTATAAAATTGCATCCATAATTAGAAGTGGCAAATTTTGACTCTACATGTATTCTACTTGAGGTTTCAGTATTTGAGGATGCTAGCTGTGGCATATGAGAAGACCCAGGAACTTGCTAGAGAGCTACGAGTTGTTGGATGTGGTGATTTGGATGTTGAAGGTAACAATATTACAATAGCTTCTTCACAAATCTCCTTGAAGTGCATATTCCTTTTATAATTTTAAACACCATATGGAACTAAATATAGTTAGTTAATTCATGTAGATTGTGTTGAATATGGGATAACATGGAAAATAGACTAAAGTGGATGGTGGTCGTCTCAGTTGAATTAGAAAATTAAAATAAAATGTACAGTATGGATTTCAATCTAGAGATATGATGTTATCAAGGGTGCGAGGCGCATAAACCTTTATATTGCCTCTAGGACAAGGTGCGAAAAAAGTGCTATCCTGAGTGAAGTGCAATATCCAAGTGTGTTTTTGTAATATATTTTATAAATCTTAAGATATATAATAAACTCTAAAGTGGGGTCTAGGTTATCTGCAAAACATCCAATCCTTTTATTGCTCACAGCATACACAATTTCCTTATGGTCAATGTTCGTTGTTGAATGCTCAAATTACGAAGTATAGAGTTTGATATCATCCCTTTCTTACCAGGAAACGTATATCAAATGAAAAAAATGAAAAATAAAAGAAATTGAAGAGAAATTCAATCAGGTGTTTTTTATGCCTATTGCCTTAAAAAAAGCGTGCCTAAGAGCTCTAGGTGTGCTCATAATCAAATGGTCCTGGCCTCTTTTGTGGTATAATGCTATGGCGTAAGGCGCAGGCGTGTGTAGAGACACACCTTGACAACACTGAGTAGGAAGAAAGTTGTGTATTAAAGTTAATGTGGATGGAGCTGTTAACAGGGATTGGAGTGCTGGAGGTATACTCCGTGATTCAGCCAGCAATTTGCTTGGATCCTTTTCAAAATCTATAGGGCCAGGCCCTCCTGCCTTGTCTAATATTCTAGAGTTTTAGCGAGCTATGATGTGTGGTTTTTTTTTTGATAAGATTTGAAGGCCTCATTAAAAACTACCTTCTTGATTAATGGAGTTAATGTGTAAACTCTTTAATCAGCTGAAGATGGAAAAGAGTGCTTTATAACTTTATTGAATAAAGTAGGAATTACAGCCTAGAGGAAGAAAACCCAATAACCCTTACAAATAATCTCTCGAAAACAAAATACATAAAATTCAGCCTATACCAGCCTTTGCCAAGGCATCAGCCTCCATGTTAGTTGTTCTTGTAACCCATCTAACAAATACCCCACAAAACCTAAGTTTAACAACTATATCTTTAACAATATAAGCATACACAGCTGGACAAGAATCAACTTTAATAATCCAGTCCACAGCTACCCTGCTGTCACTCTCAACAATCAAACGAAATTTTTCCCTCCCTTGGATAGATGAGACGAAAACAAGTCCCCTTTGAATAGCTTTAAGTTCCTTCAAAGTTGGAGGACCCGGACCCTCTGACTCCTGAAAATTCCTAATATTGCACCAAGATGATCCCTTAAAATGCCTCCCAACCCACTTTTCTTCCAATCACTACTAGTGGCAGCATCCACATTCAGTTTAATGAAGCCTATAGGAGGAGGACACCAGGGAAAGTTAGAAGACTTCAGGGACTTGTAGGACAAATGGGAATCCCCTATTGAAGGTCCGAAATCAACGAGTCTTTAGGAATAGAGATATCCTTATACTTAGCTAGGAACCAAGATGCAAGCCTGACTCTTGCTAAAAAGAATAATTCAATCTGGTCCAACTTCCCCCCTTCAAAAACAATTAAATTTTTGGTTTTCCAAACAGTCCAAATAACAACCCCAGGAATGAATGACCATATAACAGAGTTTGGCTTCAACTCTTCCCAGCCTAAGAGAAAAGTTTTAGCATCTTCATGAAGAACAGAACTAACACTCCACAATTGTAAAAATTTATTCCATAATGCCCACACAACCGAACAGGAAAAGAATAAATGCGAGGAAGACTCATCAACCTTTTTACAAAGAGGGCATAAAACATCATCAATTCCTTGAACTCCTTTTCTTGTCAATTCAGTTTTAACAGCAAGCTTTTGCTGCACAATTTGCCACAATAAAGTCTCAACTCGAGGTGGTAGTAATCCTGTCCAAACAACCTTCATCCAGAATTGAACCTCTTCGGATCCCTTCGGATCCAGAAACACATTTCTTAACACAAGAACTGACTGTAAACATACCATCCCCACTGCCTTTCCAAATTAAGCCATCACTGGATTCTGTAGACAGAGAAACAAGAGAAACAAGAGAAATAGTGCTCATCAAGTTACACCATTGTTCAAACTCCCAATCATTTAAATTTCTCCTCACTTGAACATCCCAAATCCAGCCCGATGGATGAAAATCTCCAAACTCACATAGCTTTCCTGATTTATTAATAGCAATCAAAAACAATCTTGGAAAAATAACCTGTAGCGGATAATCTGTTACCCAAACATCCTGCCAAAATTGAATGTGCTTACCATTGCCAACTTGAAAGCTATATAAGGAACGAAAATTAGTACCAAATGAATCTTGCTTGAAATAATTATTAACCACTGCTCTCCACTGCCAAGAAATACCAGCTGGAAGATTACTGTCAAACAATAATCTAGAGGAATCGAAACTGTATTTAGAACAAATAAATCTCCTCCAAACCGAATTTCTCTCGTTTGCAAATCTCCAGGACCATTTCCCTGACAAAGCTCTGTTCATAAAATTCAGATTACGTACTCTCAACCCTCCCTCATTCTTAGGTTTACAAACTTCAGCCCATTTAACCCAGTGATTTTTTTTACCATTCCCACCTCCCCATAGAAAATTAGACATAATAGAATTGAGAGTCTTAAGGATTGAAGCTGGAATCTTAAACATTGACAAAAAATAAGTGGGCAGTGAGCATAAGACAGATTTAATCAAAACCATTCTTCCAGCTAGTGATAAAGTCGCTCCCTTCCAACCTACCAATTTTGAGTGAAAATTTTGCACCACCGGTTCCCAAATAATTGAGGAATTCTTTATTGCACCTAGAGGGAGACCTAGATAATTAGAGGGAAAACTACCCACTGCACAGCCAATGGAATCTGCCCAAGTTTGAACCTCCTCTAAAGATATGTTTACTCCGAACAGTCTGCTCTTCTTGAGGTTTAGCTGCAACCCTGACTTAACCTCAAACACTCTAAGCACCCTCTTCACATTCATGATCTGCATCTTCGAAGCCCTACAAAAAATGATTAAATCATCCGCAAATTGTAAATGTGTAAGATTGAAAGACCCTTCCTCCTTACCAACTTTCAAACCAGAAAATAATCCCTCTGAAACCGCCCTTAGGATTAGTAAATTCAACAATTCCCATACTAGATTAAATAATAAGGGAGAGAGTGAACAACCCTGTCTTAGCCCCTTTGCCATTGGAAACTCCTCCGTTGGAAACCCCATTAACCAACATCGAAATCGAAGCTGTAGTAACACATCTCCTAATCCAACTAATCCAAGTAGAGTCGAATCCCATTTTTTCCATTACCTTGAACAAAATAGGCCAATCAACAGTATCGTAAGCCTTCTTGAAATCAACTTTCAAAACACAACCCTTTAGCCCTTTCTTCCTCCAATAATCTATACCCTCGTTTGCAATTAGATAGCAATCCAAAATCTGTCGACCGGGAATGAAAGCAAATTGAGTCGGGCTTATGATATCTCCTATACAACTTCTAAGCCTCCTTGAAAGACACTTGGTTAAATTTTGTAAACTCCTCCCGCTAAGCTTATGGGTCTAAAATCTTCAAGGCTCCCATTATTAGACCCTTTAGGAATAAGGGTGATAAAGGTATGATTAATACCATACTCCCATTCTTTCCCCAAAGAGAATTTTTGAAAAAAATCCATAATGTTATCCTTTAGCACAGGCCAAAACCTTTTGAAGAAACCCAAATTCAATCCGTCCGGTCCCGAAGCTTTGTTACTATCACAAGACTTTAGAGTCTCCCACACTTCCTCCTCGGAAAAAACCTTCTCTAAAAGACTACTTTGTTCGAAAGAGATTTTAGGGAAATGCAACCCTATATCTTCAACCTCCAGTGTAGACCTCTGATTGAAAATTTTAAAAAAGTGATCTTTTACAGCAGCTTTAATAACATCTGGGTCTCTTGTAAAATTCCCATTTACCTTTAAAACAGTCAATGCATTTTGTTTTCTCCTCACCGAAGCACAAGTATGAAAGTATCTTGTGTTTCGATCACCATCATTCACCCACCTTTGTCTAGAATTTTGATGCCAAATCTGCTCCTCAATTCTATGAAGTCTCGACAATTCTCTTCTACACGCGTTTAACTCATCAACAATCTCCTGAACTACCATGCCTTTGCTGTGCTACCACCTCAAGCTTTTGAATTTTATTTTCTAACTCAGAAATTGCAGTTCCCGAAAACTTGCTCTTCTTCCCTGCCCACAGTTTGATGGCTAATTTAGAGTTCTTCAAAATACCAAGAATTCTTGATTTTCTCTTGCGCTTCTTGCAATCTGTAATTGTTTGACAAACCATTTCCTGGAAACCATCTTCCTCCATCACATAATTCTATAGTCTAAAAGGCTTGTTTCCCCAATTTACACCTCCGTTTTGTAACAATATAACATTGTGATCTGATATGAACTTAGGAATAAGTGACTGAATAATCTCAGGAAAAGAAGCCAAGAATTGTCCATCCATCAGGAATTTGTCCAATCTAACAAAAGTGAGATCATCTTGGTTATTACTCCAAGTAAACCTTCCCCCCTCCATGGGCAGATTAATTAATCCTACAGACTGAATAAAATGAGAGAAAATCCTCATTGAAACTCTATTATGAGCTCTACCCATCTTCTCATCTTCACACAAGTAAACATTGAAATCTCCTCCAACACAAACCGGCAGATTCTGTCCCGAAATGAATTGACTAAGTTCTTCAAAGAAGTTTTCTTTTTCCTCCTCCACAAAAGGACCATACACATTAATGAGGACACTTTTGAACTGATTAAATATGAATTTTCCTGTAACCGCAATGAATCTTCTGTTTATGCAATGATCTTCCCTCTCAAACACTTCATCATCCCAACAACATAACAACCCCCTGAAGAACCAATAGTTGGCGATTCAACAACCCCTTGAAAACCATTTAACCCGTTTTTTCTAAGAAAAGACCTTTGTATCTTCTCTGCTTTGGTTTCTTGAAGCCAAAGAAAAGAAGGATGAGAGTTTGCAACTAATCTCTGCACCGCTCTTTGTTTTTCCTTTTTACCCAAACCCCTTATATTCCATGTGATTATGGCTAAGTTTTTCTTCATAATTAATAACTGAACAATCCCCAATACGACTCTCAATTAGCCATATTACAACCTTTCTGTAAGTTAATTATTTTTTCCAAAAAAGCTTCCTTCCCCTGCTTGAAGGAAACACCCAAATCTGACTAATTTGCCATGTAGCGACTGCTTCATCTAAGAGGTCTGAAAAGACTGAAGAAGCTGCTGTAGAAATACTGACTTGATCTACTGTTTCCCTAAACAATAATCTTTTAACTCTTCTACTGGTCAATCGGGAATTGGATAGAAAAGGTTGTTTATCCAAATCACATCCTACAGGCTCTCCATCTATACCTCCACCACCAGATTCCAGGACTAAATTTGGAATCTCACAATCTAGTAAATTAAGCCCTCCTGTTTTAGAAGTCTGCTGAACATCTGAGCAAAACTAATCCTTAACCATCTTTGAATCTGAAACAACCTCGTTAACAATATTTCCATTCTGATCATTCCCATGCCAGTAATTCCTCTCCTTAGTTCTTCTGTAAACTCTACTATAACATGACATTCTCCTCTTATCTAAAGGCACACTCTTGGAGGAATGCGAGCTTTTGTGCACTGTTAACGAACGACCTCTGGAATGGTCTTTTAATATCTCTGAATTAGAAACTAACATCAATGACTTAGTTTCTTTAACCTCACTGTCTTCACTGCCAAAAGAATCAGAATTCTTACTGGACACCCTTTTAACTATTTCATATCACTGCTCTCCTCTGCTTTTCTTCTATTTTTAACCAGTTTACCAAACTTGTTAATTGTGTAAGCTGGCCCAGAAGGAATTAATTTATAAAAATCTAGTCCAGGCAGCTCAAAATCATCCGATTAGGCTTGTGATCCATTAGCCGAAATATTTGAATTCCTGACACCCAAACCTGCAAAACTCTCCTCCTCTGTTTTTCCCAACGTTGTGTGAACATGACAAACTTGTTCTAATACTCTTCTCATGTTTGGTAAATCTTGGAGAATGTGTTTCCCCATCAGTTTCTGCTAAGCCAGAAAAACTCCCTCCTCTATCCAAAAGTTAACTTTTTGTCTGCATTTCTCTGCTGATTTGACTGGACTTTTCTCAAATTCTGACATATCCCTATCTTCCTCGTCCTCATACCTCAACTCACCACAATTTTCTCCAACTGCTCCGACCACCGGAGAAATTTTGAAAAAAGGCTTTGAATCATCATAAACCGATCCAATCTTAATATTAACTCTGAACGATCTCCCATAGGATCCCAGAATAATAAATTCTGGCACATCAAACGGGCTAACCACTCTCATAAGAATCCTCGCAGAAGTGAGATCATCCCTGTTCTTGGTGGAGTCATGAATTTCCACCATATTTCCCCATCTCCCAGCTATTCTTTCTAAGAAAGATTCGTTCCAGCATAATAGAGGAATCCCGAATATCTCAACCTGGCAAAATGCCATAGGAACTCCATCCTCATTCAGTAAAGGAGTCGATCTTTCAAACCACAAGCTTATCACATCTTTCTTCTTTGTCCAAGCTTCCATCATATCTTCGTAGGATTTGAAAGAGATAACGCAGGAATTCCTGGCATATCCCCAGCCAACAATCTGAACTTCATAACCTTCATCATCAAAGAACTCCTTAACTGAGTTAAAATCCAAGGAAAGCTTAACAATCCCCGTTAAAGAACTTTTGACCCAACTCGAGCTCTCAGACGGAATATGCATTTCCAGAACATTCTTCCTTACTTTCTCCCTGTGACTCCCTTCAGAATGAAGCTCCGAATACCCCAACGCATTATTTCTCATACTAACGGACAGTAAAGCATCTTTATACGATCTTTCATCCCAAATATTCCTGCTGGTAAAATCTGTCGCTTTCAACTTTGAAGGTCCTGCTGCACTCGAGACTGGGGCCGGAATAACTGGACTGACCTTCCCTACTATCCTTGGACGAACATCATTGTATTTTGCAATTCCAACTGAAATCCTTCTCCCATCTATCAATGATCCATTTAATATATCTATCGCTCGCTTTAAACCTGATTCTCGCTCAAACTGAACAAAAGCAAAAGTCGAAAATCTATATTTAGGATTTCTTGTTTCTTTTGGGATAAAAACTCTCTCTACTGCTCCCTGAGCCGAAAAAGTTTCCCTAAGCACACGTCTAGATACTCTCCTACTGAGATTGTCAACAAACACCTTCCAAACCTCACCGGAATCTATCTTGTCTTTCTTTTGCTAGATTGTACCGTAGTCAGGATGTACTGGTTTCTATTTCTAATAAAATTCTGAGGTACTCTTTTCCTCCTTCCAATGTTTGTTGAATTGATGCTTTAGCTATTTAACAAATACGAAGGGGCTTTTTAATGATACCTCCAATATTTATAAAAAAAAGTATTCTTTTAGCTGAATCAGTAATTGTTTTACTATCCTTATGAAAACGTATGACCATCGACCTATATTTAACAATACGACTGTAGTAGAAAGGTTAACATTGTATGTATAACCGATAATAATATTAACTGAGCCCTATTTACAGGTCTCACGGAGTCTCTATTTTCTTCTCACAAGGATGAATATCCCGAACATGAACAAGCATCTCTTGGACAACTGTATCATGCAAAGGTTTGCAAACTTGCTTTGCTTGTTCCCCAAAGTTTGAGTACTTGATTTGCTTCATTCTTGCAGATTGTAACTTATGTTCTCTGGTGCAGCTGGAAGAATTGCGTGCTGAAAACCAGAATGTTTCTGATTCAGCTGGAACGATAGGGCGCTCTAAAGGGGCTTCAGTGTCTTCGTCACATCAGCAGATATCTGTTGCAGTTGTGACAGAGTTTGTACGATGGAATGAAGAAGCATTAACCAGATGTACTTTATTTTCATCTCAGGTGATAATTTTCCACCAACCAGTGGTATGCTCTATTACTTGTGTACAATCTTTTTTGCAGGATAGACTGCATAGAGGATTTTACTGATCACCAATAAAAGTGGTTTAAGGGAAATTTTGTGGTTTTTGAGTGTTTCTATTATGTATAAACAATTAATTGTAATGTCCTTAAAATTTATTCTAAATCTTAACCTTCCAGTGGGTTTCTTAAGGTGCATGCTAATATTTTGTTTGAAAAGCTTTGCAATTTTTTATAATCCAGAGGCCTTATCCACCGCCATGGCTGGTATTGTAAATTGAGGGATAGTTGATGTGACATGATTGCATATATGAAAATTAAGCATGCATTATGCAACGGAATGCTACTGTAGTAAAAAGAAAATGCTTGCTGATAAAAAAAAAAGATATTATGACATAAATGAGACCAATTGCTAACTTAAATGCAATATGTTTTTGACAGCCTGCCACACTTGCAGCCAATGTAAAAGCAGTGTTTACTTGCCTACTTGACCAAGTAAGTTGGCTTTAGACATGTTGGTTCTCTAGTTTCTTTTGTCTGGGTACTTATTTTATCTCAATTTTTTAGGTCAGCCAATATATAACTGATGGACTTGAACGGGCTAGAGATAGCTTGACTGAGGCTGCAGCCATGAGAGAAAGGTTTGTGCTAGGTACAAGTGTTAGTAGAAGGGTGGCTGCTGCAGCTGCTTCTGCGGTAAATACATGATTATGCTATATTTCGAGAATTAAGTTCAATTTAACCAAAAATAATAATGAAATAAGGTTGGTTAATTACCTGATGTGCAGGCAGAAGCTGCAGCAGCAGCTGGTGAAAGCAGTTTCAGATCTTTCATGGTTGCTGTTCAGCGTTGTGGCAGTGGTGTGGCCATAGTTCAGCAAGTACGTTGTGTTTCTTGTTTATTTCTTATAGTAATGTTCACAATGAAAGAATATTATATTCTTCTGAATATTTGAACAAATCTTGCCTTTTATTTCCAGTACTTCGCAAATTCTATATCTCGGCTCTTATTGCCTGTTGATGGTGCTCATGCGGCTTCTTTTGAAGAAATGGCCACAGCAATGTCTAGTGCAGAGGGTGCTGCTCATAAAGGGCTTCAGCAATGCATTGAAACTGTGATGGCTGAGGTCAGTTAACTTCTATTTTACCATTCCGTTTTTTCTGGGTAATATTGTCAAGCTAATCGTCGGATACAGACGTCTCCAACATGAGTTTGCTCAATTTTTTTCAAGTATTTCCTTATATTTGGAGGGTTGGACTTCCATATCAATGTCTGTTTTATTTGTCATCTATATGTACTTGTAAGAAAATGAAGAATTGGAGCAACATAGCTTAAGAGAGTGTCTATGGATTCGGGTCCTATATTTCTTTTATGAACTTTGTTTTCATTTCATTCCTTCTCTTCTCATCCACTACATGGTGCCTTTTTTTAAACTCTATCTTTTGCCAAACTTTTAGATTTACCTGTTATTTGCTCTCTTCAAATTTCTTAATGATCACCTGTTATGTGTTGGCGGAATCCTTTTAGGTTGAACGGTTGTTATCAGCTGAACAAAAGGCGACGGATTACCGCTCACCTGATGATGGAATGGCTCCTGATCATCGTCCTACAAATGCCTGCACAAGGTTTGTCCTTACTAGTTATATTTTGTGGGGTCATACTCTATGGATGTGAAACTGATTGATTCAGAAACATTAATCATCAAATTCCATTGCCTATAATTTTTGTTGCTTGGTTATCTTTATGTTATTTGCTGTCTAGTTAACTAAAACTCCATTGTTTCCAGGTTACAGTAGCTATCTTCTTTAGCAGTGCAGCTATGAAAACGAATTATTTTATGTATTTTTCTTGTCTTCTTTATCTTGTCTAGAGTTGTTGCTTATCTTTCTCGGGTTCTGGAGGCTTCTTTCACTGCACTGGAGGGTCTTAACAAACAAGCATTCCTGACTGAACTGGTATGATTTTTTCATTTGATATTCCCTTGATTTATATTGTTCTTAATTTTTGTGTACAAACAAGATTAGTTTGCATGGCATTGGCAAGAAATTCATGCACTTGTAACATTTCCCTTAATTGTTTTCAGTATTTTTGTTTTGTGGTATGTGGTATTGATTTTCTTTTTTCTTTTCTATTGTCATCTTTCCTGTCTCTGTTTATAATGTTTCGATTAATGAATATACCACATTTTGAAAAGTTTAATTGTGGATCCTATGTCATTTCAGGGAAATCGCTTGTACAAAGGACTACTTAATCATTGGCAGAAGTTTACTTTTAATCCGAGGTATTTGACCTTGCTCTAATGTTCTTATTTTGATGACCAATGAAATAGCCACAGTGATGCATGTCTTTGACTAGTTTTTGATTGAGAGAGGGCCTCTCATATACTTGTTGCATGTCTACCATATAGATCTTGTAAAACGTGTTGTAGTACATGTTTGCCTCATACTTTTGAATCTTTTATGTTCTTGTAGTGGAGGACTAAGACTGAAGCGTGACATAACGGAGTATGGGGAATTTGTGCGTAGTTTTAATGCTCCTACCGTTGATGAGAAATTTGAACTCCTTGGAATGTAAGTTATTGAATTCATGGAACATTGGATCACTGCTTTGTCATTTAGACCTCCATTTCATTGATCGACTGTTTGTCTCCAGCTTGGCCAATGTTTTTATTGTTGCTCCTGAAAGTCTCTCCAGCTTGTTTGAGGGAACACCAAGTATTCGGAAAGATGCACAAAGGTATTGCTCATATTAGTGGTTTTCTTTTTCTGTGAATTACATTTGATATGTTTGCAGAAGGTTGCTAGTTTTGACTTTGGCTCATACTTCAGGTTTATTCAGCTTAGAGACGACTACAAGAGTGCAAAACTTGCATCAAGGCTCAGCTCTTTGTGTTCGAGTTCTAATTGATTTAGAGCTGTGCTGTTTGTTTGTATTTGTTGTCGGACTTTTATCATCTCAAGCATATTCCCTTGGTTTTGAGTCACCATTACCGAGCAAGAGCTGGTCCGAGATTAAGTTTATTGCGGCGATAGTGAGCCCATGATTGAGCACAAAAATGAAGTACTATTTTATTTTGAATGATTTTTGTTTAATTGTTTCGACGGGGAAGAGAACGCAGAATTCGTAGGGTTGTGCATGTTAGGACGGTGATATGGGAAGTTGGATTATTTTCAGTTTTCAGTCGCAGAATTCAAGAAAAAGCAAAGATGTGGTGCCCTAGTTTAGATTATTATGTTTGTGGAATTGTGAGGTAATTAAGGTCCCGTACAATGCTTTTGCAGCCCTAAAGGTGTTTATTAGCAACAGAAGCAACGCTAAACACGGGTTTTTTTTATACCAAAATCTCGTCAATAGTGTTTTTTTCCCACCCAAAATAAAACACATCTTTAAGCTTTTGCGGTGGAAAAATTGGGTTGAAAGTGACATTTATTTTTTATCTTGTCAATTTATTTACACTGTTATTAATAATTTATAATGGTTAAGTTGGTATGTGAACAGTAAAATTATTAAAATAAGCATGTTTAGTATCTCTGCAAGTCATAAACGAAGCACTGAAAAGTTCTAATCGTTACTAGCCCAAAATAGCTATTCTCTCTTCATCGATACCATTCCGTTCAAGCTCGAGATCCTAAGCTACTTTGTCCCAAAAAAGTGAGGGAAGCTCCAAGACATTGTTTTGATCCCCTTAGCTACATATTTTTTTCACAACGATATATCATCCCCTAATTGGATATGAAAAAAGATAAATTAAATTAATAAAATATCTTTCAATCTGGTAGTGGTAGTGATATGCATCATCATCTAATTGAATATTAAATTTATTAAGATAAATTAATAATACATATAAATATTAAAGATCAAACTTATAATTATATTAATTTTATTAAGTTAGTACTTTCGTTCAATGTTAACACAAGTGATTTAGTTGAATACATTTAAATAGTTAGATAATATAATTAATAAAAATTTAAAAAATGATGGTCAAAATGAAAAGATACATAAACTATTCTATATATATATATCTCTTTGAATTAAATAATATTATCTAAAAATGGAATATAACATTGATGAATTTATATATAAAGTTAATTATTATTTTTTATATAATCTTGAAAAAAATGTTTCTATATAGAATCATTAACAAAAAAGAATACATCAGAAACTGATAAAATCCTAGAAGGCTAGAACATTTTTGTTTTAAGCAGGGTCTGTTATTGTTAAATCAGCCATAATTTGTTTTTAATATTTCCAACGCCGAGTCAGGTTGCAGCACCATCCAAATGTGATGTAGAAGCAGCAGCGTCGGCTTTTAATATAATAAGGTGATGAGGAGTCGAAGAAAGTAGAAATTTGTGGTTGTTTCTGTAGCCGCCCCACCTGGCAAAAGCAGGCCAGCTGGAGACTCCAATCGCTGCCACCAACATCTCCATTGGACACTTGGTATCACGCAAGCAGACAAAAATCTTTATTTATAAACCGCCATCCTAAGAACTCAAGCAAGCAAATGGCACTTGACAAGGTCAAACACATCGTTTCCTCCACACCACTTGTTGTCTTCAGGTACATTTCTCCACGTTCAAACTTTGGGATTTCTATTTCTAACCCTAAACTTTTGCTTCTTTGCAGTAAAACCTATTGTGGTTATTGCAATAGGGTTAAGCGGCTGCTTACTCAGGAGCTTCTTACAAGGGCATTGAATTGGATGAAGAAAGGAAACTTTATATATATATATATATATATATATATATATATATACCAAACAACTATTGTCGATTACCGTAAAACATTTTCTTGTTTTTGGAAGGTGATGGTGGTGAAATGCAAGCAGCTCTGGTTGAGTGGACTGGGCAGAGGACTGTGCCTAACGTGTTCATTGGAGAGACACATTGGTGCCTGTGATTGTAAGCCCAAATTCTCATTGATTGCTTGTGGAACGAGAAAAATACAGACAAGAACATGACTCTTTTATTTGTTGCAGCTGTTGTCAGCTGGTGAATCTCCTCACAGATGCCAGCGCCATTACTGTCAATCTCAATGCCCGAGTCCAAACCTTTATGCAAAGAAAAAATAGCATTCTTTCTATATCCAATAGTCATGTCTGTACTCGACTGGTGAGAGAATGAGTTCGAATGGCATTTCTGAGACTGCTTGGGTAATTTATTATTATTACCATATGATTCCAAATACATTGTTTCGGTTGGCAAAACATTAGATTAATGAAACAAAAACTTTGTTGAACAACCACCATAGCAATACGAAAAAGGGCATAAGACAAGCCTTGCAGCAAATTTCTTTCATGGTATTATTCAAATGTGCCAAAGCGACCATCAAGTACCTTTTAGAGAGCAGCTGGTTTTATATCTTGTAGAAGCCAAATGTTTTCTTTTATCAAAAATATTCCCAGCATTTAGACCTCTGAGTTGAATGTCATCGACCCAAGTGCTTTATTTTAGTATAGTTTTTTCTTTAACGTTCTGCATTGAAGAAAAGAAGACATGAGGTGTCGTAATGAAGCACGAAGGAGGAGAAAGGTTTCACTTACAGTTGAGACGTCTATCCATGCATTAAGCGTGTTTAGCGCTTTCCCAGATAATTGTGTCTCCCGCGCCAAATTTGCCCCTTCAGAAAGTGATTTCACATGCCCACTCACTAGAAGCGCTGCTGCTGCATTAAGGATCTGAAAATATTGTATCATATTCATCTTAGTGCCATTAAATTACATTTATAGGCTTTTAATCATCCAACAGAAAGTAGTAATAATAATAATATGGCATGCAAGTTCACATATAGGCAGAGACAAAAAACAAGGGGGAATCAAGTGGTTTACAAGTGCATCTGCAATGGGCCCTTTCTCCCCTGATAGAATACGCTTCAGCACATCCGCATTGTAGTTTTTCTCACCACCTCGCAGGTCCTCTATAGTACAGCGAGGAATGCCAAAATCCACTGTCAAAAAATTTATCTTCTCAGACGGCGGTTTTAAAACGATTTTCTACCATTCAATAAATACATCTAACAAGGATTCAGCTTCACTGCATCAATGAAAACATCAGACGAGATCTTACATGGATCAAATGCAAACTCTTGGATATTTTCTGGAGTGACATCAAGGACTCGCCCAGGCCCTGTGTTACATATGCAGTGAGATTGCAATTGATTTAAAGAAGACATGAGAGCCAAGGGAAAGGAATGAAGCTTACCAAGGGGACTCATTTCATCTAAACCCTCTGAGTGCACAACTAATGCTCTTTTCATGCCAAACCGCTGTAGTGCTTTAGCCATTTTGAGGACCTGTTTCAAACAGTTGGAACCCATCTCGATAGTGGATTAAAGGAGAAAACTATCAAATTACATAGAAATGCAAATGCTTTTTCATATTCTATTTCTTTAGTGCAAGAAAGGTAATACGATCACATGTATGGCACCATGGTTTGTGGTGGAAACTACAAGACTATGGCATCCATCAGATGTTATACGAGCAAGCAACAATGCATGCCTTACAAAATCTACTGCAATAGCGACGGTTGGATATATATACGATTTGTATGTGATCTCAAGGTTCCATAGTCGATTAATGTTTTGGAAGAGTTTGAGCCCGTCATTTCCCTTTACCCTTCATCTTCACAGGGAAGAGACCCTAAAATTGTCAAATGCCATCTATCTGCTCTTTCCAAAGCTTTTATTAATTTTCACCACGAAAGCTCAAATTTTTCAATAAATAACTCGTATATTTCTCCTTCAGTATTTGCAGTTTGCACTCTTTAACTTTTATTCATTGTCTTTTTACCAAGTACAGGAAAGTACTTGGAAAATGTGTGGTTGAATTTTTTGAAAATGGTTTTTGGAAAATGAAATTGTGTGAAAATTAAAAACATTAAAAAAAGGTTGTTTCCGTTGTTTTACTAAAAATATTTTCTAAAACTGAAAAAGTTGAAAACATGAGTTTTTCAACTTAATGAATTGGCTTGAGTTCAAATCTATAGAAACATAAAAATATTTTTTTCCAATAAACTTTAACTATCAAATCTCTGACCTTGTTAGAACTTATAACCCTTATTGATGTAGTAATCTTTTATTTTATTTTATTTCCCATGTTTCCATGTTAAAAAATAGGTACTTTTCATTATTGAAAGCTAGAGAATTTGACTTCTATGTAACTTCTTTTATGAGTTAGTATCACTTTTAGTATGGATACTAACTTTAAAAGAAAATAAAAATGATTATTTTGGTAAATAAAGAGCATGATTCTAGAAACCTTCGCTTTCTTAGGCTGCAAGGAGAGAGCGAAAGAGATACTTCTATGAATACTGTTAAGGCACTAAGAAAACTTACTAGATCTTCATGGTAAACACCAACAACGGCAAAAGGTACTCTTGCAGGGTTCAACATAGGGCCCAGTATATTGAACACGGTTTTAACTTTTAACTTCTTTCTTACAGGGCTCACAATCTTCATTGCTGGGTGGTACTTCGGTGACATCATGAAACCAATGCCTGCTTTATTCACACAGCTCACTATTCCCTTCAAGAAAATGAGAAAAAAAGGGGAAAATGGATCAATGCCACAATAATATCAGTTAAGGTTTACATTTATGATATCTGGTGCACAATTTACATTCATTTAATTTAGTGGGCCAGGTACTCATTGCTTTTACTTTTCACTTAAATATAGTTGCAGACGCCATATAAAAACAACCTAACAAAATTCCAGCATGGATAACATAAAATAAAGGAACATATGATGTATTCATGAGTAATGTCATGATGTAAACTATTGAGGCCCACGCAAAGTTCTGATACTAGTACTAGTAGATGGTCCTTATGTAGAAGTTATGATGTGCATGTTGTGTTGCTGAATAGGAATGAAGAGTCTTCATAAATTCCCAGCAGCATGCCATAATGAATGTAAAACAAAAAGATTGAAAGCAAGCGTTAGTCTATAAAAATACATTTCCATTTCACATAAGAACAAACAGTGCTCGAAGTTCGAACTGAAAGCCTTACATATAATGTAGAATGAACTCTTTGTACAATTATATTAAAAGACGCACGGTGTACCATTAAAGATATTGAGAAGGCAAAAAACAGCAATGGATAATTAGTTACAAGTTTAAGCAACATTGTGGGGAATCTAACAGAGTTATCCATCTATTGAGTGCTGGAAACTGTTACTACAGCAACTAAGTGAAGTTTGCAACACCCAAAATGTTAGAATTCCCTTTCTTCTCCAAAG